CATCTAGCATAATATGTAACCAATTGTGCTGTGCCTAACTGCTTCCATACTTGCCTCCACCTCCTGCAGTGTTACCAAGTTTCTTATTAGCTTGCATGGGCCCAACTTGACATCTTTCTAGTTGTTACAGTTGCAACAGAATAGTTAATCCAGATGCTGTAACTGGAAAACTGCTGCAACATGAGGGTGTTGCTATAGCTCTCCTACCTTCCTGAACTCCCTGTGCCCTGCCTCCAGGTCTACTTTGAATCTGCAATGACTGCAAATCTGTTCCCAGTTTTTGAAACCAGTTATAGTTTCTGGAACATTCATTGTCAATTTAAATGAAAAAGTATTCTGTATTTTGTACACAATAAATAAACAGCTCGGGAATATTTGGCCTATTCATTCAGGCTGTTCCAAACAAATCTGAGGGTGGTTATGCCATGTTTAAATCTCCCCCCAGTCTTGTATCATCAAATAATTTTAGTTGCATGGGGTGCATTGGGAGAGGGTAGAAAAAAGAGAGGTGAAATGTCTAATACAGGAATGCTGGTTTGCGGGTGAGGAAGCTGGGAAGTGGAAATCTAATTGGCAGGAAGCTGGACAGTGTATGTTGTGCCTAAACAGAGCAGACTTAGAAAGGAAGCCATCCGAGTTCTGAACTGTTAGAGACCCCTCCTAGCAAAAAGCACTGTACAACACGCAGTACTGGTATAAATTCTTTTGCTAGCAATTCTACCTTTCCATGATGAAGACCTGGCCTGATGGGACATGTGCTGGATGAAGGCTTTGCATCTGTAGGTTTGACAGCATTGCCTGTAAAAGTGTTGCATTGCTGGAGAACAGCAACTGCCTCTGCTGTCAAGCAAAAGCATCCTAATTTGTCCTGGACATATAAAGAGCTGACCTCTTCACCTTGAAAGCAGTAAATTGTGTCAACCCTGCATGAACTGGAAGCTATTTGAAGATAGCAGTAAGATAGCATGCACTCTCATCTAGCACCTTCACTCCAATTTAGCACCGCTCTATGATGAAAAAAAATGCACTAGATCTAATGTTGTCACATCCAGGTCACTTGATCCTGCCCCCCCGCCTCCCCCAAGTCACTTGTCCATGGGATGGGAGAACAATCTATACTGAAAAATGGTGGGTTCTGTGTTTTAGAACAATATTTATATAATTTCTAATTTTAAAAAAGTTACCTGCTGCTGTAAATATTTTGAAAAGAAAAAAAAAAATCTACCAAAAGCTTTTCCTGTCTTAATTAGCATGGTGAAGCTAAACCACTAAAAATCAAAATGGGAAGGAGTGTGCGCTTTGTACAAATTATTATGAATGAATGTAATTTATCCAGGAAAACAATCTGTTGTTTGGGTGTTGAAGTCAGATGTTCTCAGAACAGTGGCCGGTTCTACCCACCTGGGGAGCTGTTGTAACTTTCTGTTGCATGCACAAAATGCTTGGATTTTTTCCTTTAACATTTGGGCATTCACACACGATTGTGATCAGTTGCAACAATGTTTTATTTGTCTGGCTGGTAAACCAGACCAGTTCAGTGATTTGCATCATTGTGGTTAAATCAGATACTGGATGTGCAAGGAAGGTCTCCTGTAGACCTGTTGGATCTGTACAAATTAATGCTGTATCATGTTCCACTTGAGAGAGCATAATTGCAACAAGCTTCCAATGCATTAGCTTGTCTAACTTTATCCCACCTACACAGATGATCCCTCAAAATTCCTTGCCTCTCACATAATTTCTGGACCAAAATAGCTACACCACTCTTACACATAGTAGTAAGAGAAATCTATTGCTTCTTGTATAGGAGGAGGATTAAAGAGACTTGGGTTCTAGTAATGACTGCCCATTGCTTACTTTGTGAGAGTTAGTGAATCACCATTTGCCAATATATATATATATATATATATAGGCACATCCTTTGTATGAAAACTGCTAGATCAATGAAGGGAAATATCTAACCAGAACTGCAGCAGCATGCGACAGCCCAAAGTTTGACTGGGTTGAAGAATCTGGAACAAGTAGGAGGGTTTTTATTCTATGCAACACGTTTCCCAACAGAAAAGAAGTTTTCAGCATGCTGGCTGGTTTTTGTCTCCAAAAATCTCCCCCAAGCCCCTCTGCATTTCATATGCTTATAGCTTAACCAGGGGGTGCTCAATCCCTGACCCACAGACCGGATCTGGCCCCAGAACCTTGTCACTGAGCCTGCGGGGCTCCCCATGGGCCTTGGCCCCCGCAACCTAGGTCCAGTGCACACAGCCTGATCCCAGTGCATGGGTGTAGGTTGCAGCCGTTTTGCTCTAAGGTCACCGGCAGATGAGGCTGTTTGGGTAAATCCAATATCTCTTATTAGACCAACTATAAAACAGTTGGAAACATTCTTCTTTGCCAGCTTTCAGGTATAAACACCATCCGTCAGGAAGTGTCTGCAGTTGGTGAGTGCTCTTCCTGGAAGGAACAGAGAAGAAGCCAGAGGCCAGCAGGACACGAGAAAGCCAGTTGGTGCAAATGCAAACGAAGGCAACCCCAGGTGGAGGCAACTTGGGGCTGCCATCGCCGCATGCAGTCAGCCGGCCGGGTCCCCAGAGCTGGCTCCTGGTCTGTAGGCCCGGGCGGAGGCCGTGCAGGGCCGGCCAGGCCAAGGCAGGGCCGGCTGGGCCCAACCGCAGCGCAGGGGAGTGGCAGGGCTGGGCCATCGCAGTGCAGCGCCCGCCAGGCTCCGCCTCCTGCGGTGCTTCAGCCGGTGCGACGTGGTAGGGGACAAAGGAGCCCGCGCCACGGCCTCCCGCCCCGCGCCCGGCTCTGGGGTAACGCCGGCCCCAGCCCCGAGGACACGGCCCCTCAGCCGCCCCCACGGGCGCACAGGAGCCTAGGGCTGCCCCCTACGCCGCAGACAATGCCGCAGCCCCGCCCCGCCCGCGCCGCGCGCCCATTGGCTCCGCCGCGCCGCCCCGCATTACCTCACCCGCCGCCCATTGGCGGAGCGGGGCGCGAGGGGGCGGGGCCGGAGGGCGCCTTTATAAAGCGGGATCCGGGGCGCGGCGCCTGCAGCTGCTGGGCAGGGCTGCGTTGGCTAGGGTCAGTGCGGTGCGGGCGCGCGGAGCAGCAGCCATGCGGGAGATCGTGCACATCCAGGCTGGCCAGTGCGGCAACCAGATCGGCGCCAAGGTGAGCCCTTGCAGATACCCCTGCGCCCAACCGAGCCCCTGGGGGCTGGGCAGCCTGGCTCCCTCCCCGCTGGCACCTCCCGGCAGCTGCCTCGCCCCTCTGCGCAGGGCGGGGGGCTTCCCCTGCCACTGCATCGTACACATTTGGGGTGGGGGGAAAAAATTGGGGTGGAAGGGGCCTAGTCCAGCCCCCTACTCCAAGCAGGAGCAAAGACAGTGTCTTCTTGCCCAGTGGTTCTGGGACAGGGAGCTGCAGCCCCTTTTTCGGGGGTGGCAAATATGGCTAAGAGACTTCCCCAGGCATCCGCAGTGCCTGTCACGTGAAGGCTTTGCAAGATGTCTGCCACAGCACAACTGTGTGTGTGTGTGTGTTCCTTCCCCGCCCCAAACCCTCCGCAGTTAAAAAGGCAGTGGGAACAATGAGCTGGCATTTCCTCGGGGTGCCTTGAGTCTAGTCAGCAGTGGGTGCCCTCAGTCCTAAAGGGTTGGGAAGCAGTGGTCTAGTTCGTGTGATGGGTGCTGAAAAGGACACGCCCATGTTTCCCATGCCCTGGATGTCTCTAGTAGCTCTCCCTCACTTTCAGGCTCTGGTCTCTGCTCGTCTCTTTCATGGCAGTGCTGCATGCAGGTTGGCCACTGCAGCAGTTGCTGCTGCTGGGGAAACGCCTCTCTGTGCTGTCTCATTGATTAGGCAACAGTACAAAGATTGCGGGTGCAGGCATAGAGCAGTAGCAAGGTGTGCCGGCCATGTGCGGGTATAGGCACTGCTAGCAGCTTGCCTCCACCCCTGATAACTGCCCTCCCTGCTTCCCTTCTGCCTCTCCTTGTGTTGTAGTTCTGGGAGGTGATCAGTGATGAGCATGGCATCGACCCCACCGGCAGCTACCATGGGGACAGTGACCTGCAGCTGGAAAGGATCAACGTGTACTACAATGAGGCCGCTGGTAATTGCATGCCTTTTAATTTTTCAGACTCTTGCAACCAGCCAGATACCAGCTCATTACAGCTAGCAGAGCTGATGCAAAGGAACGCCCCAGCCACCACTGGTTCTTTGTCTAATGGATCCAATTCCCTTCAGCGTGACTCTGCTGAATAATGCTCTACACTGCAGCAGTCTCTTTCCACCTCTCCCCTATCCCCCACCCCAGCCAGTGCATTACACTGGGAGTACAGTGGCTCTCTTATTAAATAGCTGCTGATTATGGGTCTAACACCAGCTTTTGTTCATCCCACAGGTAACAAGTTCGTGCCCCGCGCAATTCTTGTTGACTTGGAGCCTGGCACAATGGACTCGGTCAGATCTGGACCTTTTGGGCAGATCTTCAGACCTGACAACTTTGTCTTTGGTATGTCATATTCTGGACAGCTACATATACCAGTGTGATGCTTTTTTCCTTAATGCGATTACTCTGAAATACCATAGTAGATGTATTGACATTCATCTCTTTTGTTCTCGCGCATTGGGGATGCCCTATCTGTCTTATTATGTGTGGCACTTAAAGGAACAATTCATCCTTTTAACTTGCAGACTTAGTGTCCAAACACAAACTAAGGTACAGTATGCACGAGATTCCGTTTACTAGACTGACTTAATCTTAATCTCCCCTGCTTAATAAGTAGGCTTAAATGCTTTTCTTATCTTACATGGCATCCTAAACAGATTATGAAGGTGTAGCTTTTGTGTCTCTAGACTAGTGACTAAAATAGCATCTTTCCACTGTGCCTTCTAGGTCAGAGTGGTGCCGGAAACAACTGGGCAAAGGGCCACTACACAGAAGGAGCCGAGCTGGTGGACTCTGTCCTGGATGTGGTGAGGAAGGAGTCGGAAAGCTGCGATTGCCTGCAGGGCTTCCAGTTGACTCACTCGCTGGGTGGTGGCACGGGCTCGGGGATGGGCACACTCCTCATCAGCAAGATCAGGGAGGAGTACCCGGACCGCATCATGAACACCTTCAGTGTCATGCCCTCACCCAAGGTGTCTGACACAGTGGTGGAGCCCTACAACGCCACGCTGTCTGTCCACCAGTTGGTGGAGAACACGGATGAAACCTACTGCATTGACAATGAGGCCCTGTATGACATTTGCTTCCGCACGCTGAAGCTCACGACCCCCACCTACGGGGACCTCAACCACTTGGTGTCGGCCACCATGAGCGGCGTGACAACCTGTCTGCGGTTCCCCGGCCAGCTGAACGCTGACCTGCGCAAGCTGGCCGTCAACATGGTACCTTTCCCCCGCCTGCACTTCTTCATGCCAGGGTTTGCCCCGCTGACGAGCCGTGGCAGCCAGCAGTACCGTGCCCTGACGGTGCCGGAGCTGACGCAGCAGATGTTCGATTCTAAGAACATGATGGCGGCCTGCGACCCGCGCCACGGCCGCTACCTGACGGTGGCCGCCATCTTCCGGGGCCGCATGTCCATGAAGGAGGTGGACGAGCAGATGCTCAACGTCCAGAACAAGAACAGCAGCTACTTTGTTGAGTGGATCCCCAACAATGTCAAGACGGCCGTCTGCGACATCCCCCCGCGAGGCCTCAAGATGTCTGCCACCTTCATCGGGAACAGCACAGCCATTCAGGAGCTGTTCAAGAGGATCTCGGAGCAGTTCACGGCCATGTTCCGGCGTAAGGCCTTCTTGCATTGGTACACGGGCGAGGGCATGGATGAGATGGAGTTCACGGAGGCCGAGAGCAACATGAACGACCTGGTCTCCGAGTACCAGCAATACCAAGATGCCACTGCTGATGAGCAAGGTGAATTTGAAGAGGAAGGCGAGGAGGATGAAGCCTAAGGTTACTGTTTGTAAGAGGGACTCCAGTAAAGCAGGCATGTGTACCGAATGACTTCTGTTAGTGGTGACTGAAGCATGTTCTCTGTTGCAGTGTACTTAATTATCCTGTCAACCATGTGTAACCTTAACAAGGACCTCAGTGTAACAGTTTTTGAAGTCAAGTTTATTATGATGGCTCTTGTGTTTAATTCAATTTCAAGATCACATATAAATGCATGTGTTCTATATAATGTCTGCTGTCTCACTTTCTTTAAAACTGGTATTGATGCTAACTTTACATAAACCTTTTTCCATCTCTTCCTTCAAAACCCTTGCACCACAGTTGTCTTGTTGAGTCATAATGCCTCTGTTCCCCTTTTCCACCCCCTCCCCATCCCATCCTCAGACAAAAGCAGTGCTGTAGCCTGCGCTTCACTCGGCAGACATTTCATGAGTAACTTTTTATTAAAGCACAACTATAAACATGGCTGAAACTCTCCACAATTTCTCAAAAAGGGGAATCAAGCAGTAAGTGACATGTTTGGGGATGGCTGGACAATAAAGACAGACATGCAATATATGAAATCAACCTTGGATGGACTTCATCTGTCAGGCTTCTGCTAAGAATTTTTCCACTTCTGTGTTAAATTCCTCTGCAAAACGCAAGTGTAGATTGTGCTTGCCTTCTGGTATCACAAGCAGCCTGAAAAAGATTCAAAGTCATGAACTCTGTTGAATGCACTGACAAGCAAATTGCTTAGGACCACTTTCTGATCTGGTTACACAAATGCCAACCTGAAATAACTCCCTAACTTAAATGCTTTTCAGGTTAACTTGGCTATAACAGCCAACTTCCCGTCCGTCCTTGATTTAAAAACTAGTTGAGTTGCTTCTTGAGTCGAACGTCCAAGAGGGTTACCAGTGCTGCCTATAAATCTAACTTGCATGTAAGGAAATAAAAAATATTTTTGGTCCAGGCAGAATTCTAGTTCACAGGCTGTCTTAACATAAATTTCCAGAAAGCTTCTCTCTGCTGTTTCTGCTAACTGGAGCATAGCAGCTCTGCTTAGGTGTAGTGGTCATAGAAAGGGGAAATCTTTTTCTTCCTTGAGGAGGGTATAGAAGGTGGATGACATCCTTGGTGAAGGTAGGTGAGAATAAATAGATATACCAGCCAAATCCTGATAGTGACCTATGCTTTGTTTCTCTCTTTCTCATTTTACTCCTACTATTATTAAAAAAGAAAAAAAAAAGAAGAACTTCCAAAACTGAAAGCCTACTTGGCATTGGAAGTGCTAATAGTTTTTAAATTGATATGAGGCAACTTCTGCACTGAATTATACCTCCAACTAGCATATGCTTAAAAGTAGTGGTTCTGAAATTAAGTTATCTAAAGCTTTTCATATTTTTAGAGTATGCACAATAAGGCTAAATAATACAAGTTTCAGGTATGGTACATTTCAAAACATCAAAGAGCTTCATACCATACACTGGACTTACTTAAAAAAAAAAGATGCCAGTCTTCTTTAGAATGTTTATCACTTAATACCAAATTAGGAGATTCCACTTGCTCCTTCTTGTATTATACTACATTAATTTTCCTGTTTTTAGTGAACAGGGTCAGAGCTTAGGACCATCCCATCATGAATTTTAGAGCCAGTGCAAAATGCTTCTGGATATAAAGTGATTTGAGGTTTCAGAATGGATATTTCAGCATTACTGTTGGTTGAACAAAATAGTAATTTTTCTTAGTTTTATCATTTTTTTTAACAACAAGGTTCTGTCGGAACATGTGCAATACTCGTATAACTTCAGTGTGACTTTTGGTAGAGGATAAAAGCTACTTTGTCTTAGGGAAAAAAGCAGTATTATGTGAACCTACTCAGTTTTTGTGCACCTCGTGACTACTGAGTTTGCTGTAAAGTACACAAAACTAGGAGTCTTGAAAACTGACAAAAGATATGTAGATGTACAAATATACACCACTGCAGTAAATGCATTGACTTTACTGCTAAGGCCAAAATGCTTTTTTTTCACCTCAACTCTACAAAGAACAGTACTTGACTGGTATTATTGAGCCAAAAAACCCCAACCTTGCTGCCTTCTACCGTTATATAAAATTAAAAAGGAAGAAAAATTTGATTGCAAAAGCAGGAAGTCAATAGGGATGCTAAGCTTTCCACAACAGCCTACTGTGGTAATGTCACGGTTATCAATCTTTTCCACATTGGAACATAACCTCCCTTCCCATTTACTTATGTGAGATGGACCACATAGTTTTGAACCCTGACATCTTTGCATAACCCACAGGTTGAGAATTAATTTCTCTGTACTAAAGTATGGAACCACGTACCTCTTCTTAATGCCCTATGTTAATCTAAGTTCCTTTTCTAGAAGTGTAAGTACTAGGTAGCCCTGGAGCACAGAGACAAAGTGCAGTGTAGCATCTTTACTTCAGGAGACTGCACTTTAGAGAATTGGAACAGCTCACCTAGATGTTACTGTGACATTTCTTTCTTCTAATCCTGCCTCCTCGGAACATGTTTAAAAAAAAGGCCAGCAAAAAGAGATCCTTGCCCATTTAGTGTTAAACATTGTGGGACATCCAGAGCACCAATGAGTGCACTGAAATCTAAGGAAACAGTAGGAATTATAAATACAGTTTACAGGAGAAAATGGAGCAGCCTGTAGTAAAAATGGCTTTTCCTGTGACTGTCAATATGCTATCTGGATCTTGAATTGCTCACAGAAGAATGAATGTATTTTTAGGAACTGGGTTTAGACGGTAAATTCTGATCTTAAGTCTTATGGAGAATAAACAAACAGAATTTACCCTGCTTTCCCTTCATAAAAATGGCTTCTGCTTCCCTAATCCTACTCTGTACTGCCAGTCTGGGCTGTTGGATGTATGCAATCATGAAATGGTAACACTAGCTGAGGGACTATGCTCACTGAAGAGAACAAACAGGTGCTTTGCTACATGCTGCAACAAAGGGCTTCCTGAGTTTCTGAAGTGGGTGTTGCTTCTAGGCTCTCCTTATGTGCAAGGGTGAGTAGTGACATGTTTGTAGGCTGCTGCCTGCCAAAAATAATCACAGGCCACTCATAAATTTGAAGAAAAGCTTTGACAATGTTCCCTCCTGCCTACAACAAGACTTAATGGGAAAAAAATCTCAATCAGTGTATAAGATATATTAGCATTCACTGCTATTTGCTAATACCTAAGCGTTCTGCTCCAATCCTGGTATAGCTCAACTCTTTACTAACCACGGTTAGCTCTGCTGAAGGGGGATAGCTACCAGGTATCATTTGGCAGAAGGAATGTGGTGACAATGGTTTAGAACAAGGGGTCGACTCATCTGAATATATGTTAGGGTATGGGCTTTATTTTTGTGTTTCACTTAGCTCTTTGCCCACCTTTTCTATTCACGTCGAACCATGGTTCATACAGTAAAAAGGGCAGGCTCTTTTAATTGCAGTATAACATGCTGAGGATTTGCCATGCCCCGCTCTCCTGAGGCCTGGACAATTCTGTCAAGCTGTTTCATATTCCGTGCGTTTACTTCTTCCCTTCCAAAACCATGCTTCAAGGATATGTGGTGGTAGGACTCACCGTGCTCCTTGGATGTTCTTGTGAAGATATTCTGGGTGAAACTGTGGTACCAAAGGGTCTTTCCCACCATGTATTATAAGTGTTGGACACACAATGTATGGCAGTAAATGTTCACAAATGTTACCTGAAATTTTTTTTTAAAAAGTGTCAAGGTCATGCTTTTTTATTAAAACAAATATGCACAGAAAATGAAAGCTGAAAATATTTTAAGAAGCTGGGGACTCTATTGCAGTTCTTAGCCACTGGTTCCCACTAGGAAATATAGTGTAGAATTATTCTAGGGAAATAAGTAAGTACCAAACTTATTCTGCCTCGTATAGAGGTCAGTACAAAGATTTCTTTCTCACTAACCACCACCAACATGTATCAAGCTAGTGCACTGAAGTGTTTCTGACACATTTTTCTTAACTTTTTACTTGCACAGCCTCAACAAGGCATAAATCTCTTGTCTATAATTAATCTTTTCAGTCTCTGAGGTCTGCACCATTTCAATCTATTCTAGTTTGTTATGTGGTTACCAAGCTACAGGTTACCTGACTTGATTCTTACATTTTTTTTAAACCTGTAATATCCATAACAATTTAGATCAAAATATACAGTGCTATCAGGTTTTAACAGCTACCATTAAGACTACCATTCCTTTGTGTACTAAACAACCATTTGATACAAAACCACCATTCAGACAAAAGTTACTAATCATGCAAACATAACTATAATGCATATTACACCTCTTCAACTGTACTTTTTGTTTAGGTGATTTTAAGCTTTTTCAATAAAGCAAGCGTTTCATCTATTTTATATCACCCCCTTTCTTCAGCAAATATATACTACAACTTAGCAGCCCTAGTGATACACTTATTAGCCAGCTTTGTCTGTTGCTGCTGAAATTGACTTTGTGGTACATAAAAGAAGAGAAAAAAATAGTTTGAGGTTATAGATTTTCAAGCAATCTTTAAAGCCTACTTTTTGTTGTTATTGCCAGCACTGGTGCATAATTCTGGTGTATAGATTCACTCGTTTTCCTCAGCTCTCAGTTCACTTCTTGCTAGTTTTTAATGTTTTTCCAGCCATTTATCTATATGTATTCCCTTGCTTTACAAATTTGCCCACTAACCATTTTACTTAAAAACATTTTAATCCCAAGACCTCAAAGCACATTTTGATGTTAATTAAACTCCAGAACAACAAATACAGAGCTTTTAGTTATTTGCCTAAGGTCATAGTCAGCAGCAAAGCCAGAAAATAAGCCCAACTATCTCCTTCAATGATCACTAGACTTCACTTCCTCTCTTAACAGCTGTGCAGCTATGTTCCACAACTCTGTGGAACTCATTAATATCAACATGCTCAGTGAGGCTGCACTTTATTTTTACAGCTGTTTGCATCACTAGCTCTTCTCCTACTCATGGCAGACAGGATCTCTGGGTGATTTTTTTTAATGTTAAGTCTTTATTTGGCTACTAAGAAGTTTTTGTTCCTTTTACCTAACAGTCATGGAGTTCTCATTTGTTTTACTGTAATTTTCATCTACTGGTACTTTTTTCACAACCATGACTGATTTTAAATTCAAAAGGCACCTGCTCCATTTCACAGATGACCTAAAAACCTGAGACTTCAGTTTGGAAAGGAGAAGGC